TGTCTTTCTTTTGGAGTATTTCCTGAAGATACATTCCTGGTAGTGCTTTTAGTGAGACAAAGGTGCATGAGTGTCTTGAAATGTGTCTCCAAATCTCTCTCTGGTGGGCTAGAAACATTTATCCCGTGCACCCTGGTGTACCAACTTCACGCAAAGACTGATGAGCGTGTTTAACCTCCTTGCTCTTAGGAGCATCAGATTCTATTTTAAAATTTAGTTTCTGATTTGATTGTGCTATGAAGAGGAAATGTGGAATGGTGAATTTCCATTTTAAGTGTGTCTTTGTGACCCAATGTGTATTTTCATTTCTCTTTGAAAAGACTGTTTCTTGAATATTAAAAAATTAACTTTGATCAAATTACCATGTGTGTCATATCATAAAGGTCTGATGGCGCCACAAGGATTATCACAACATGCAGGAGGCCCTGCCTCGAACCTGCATGCTTCACCTGTCCTTTCTGGTTTGCTCCGGCACAGAATTCCCACAGGTGGCACGAGTTCATCTGGGAAGTGTGAAGGCGCTGCTCCGTGTTCTGGCTGGATTTGCCGAGTTGCTGTTGGGGAGCCTGATGCCAGTCTGTGTCTTGATTGTTTATTTGTGGCTGCTTCTGTTTTTCTCATTTCTGGGAGATTTTAGGGTCCCCTTTTCACTTTTGAAGATGAGGTCTTTTCCTTGTTATTTGTGCTGTGCGCTTGCTGGGCTCTAGGAATCTGCAAAATCGTGCCCTTCAGTTCTGGAAGGAGTGGGGGAGGGGTACTACCTCTGCGGTGGTTCATTCCTGTTAGTTCGCATGTTCTTTTCTTTGTTCTTCTCAGAATTCCTCTTATTTGAATAGTGGACATTCTGGACTAATTCTCCAATTTCTAATCTCTTCACTCTCATTTTCCATGTTGTTGTCTTTTTCTCCTTTCTGGGAGATTTCTTCCACTTTCTACTCCACCTTCTGTTTTTTTCTCCCAGTTGTTTTCCTTCTTGCAAGGTGTTTTTTTCTGGGGGGGGGGGTTTTGTTTTGTTTTGTGTTCTTTGGCTGCTCCCTTATTAAA